CTCTCTCTCTCTCTCTCTCTCTCTCTCTCTCTCTCTCTCTCTCTCTCTCTCTCTCTCTCTCTCTCTCTCTCTCTCTCTCTCTTTCTTTCATAAGCGTTTGACAGCCAAAGAACACTTTATTTTCATCTCACTCAATTCTCCATTCGTGATCTGTGCTCGACTTTCTACTCAACTAGGTATTCTTACGTTATATCAGGGTTCATAGTAGTAAGACACCTGTTGAAATAAGGACTTATAAGACCCTTTCTGGAGGCCAAAATAAGACTTTTTTACGTGATTTCTGATAGATCACCGACTATTATAGTACACTAATAATATTAATATACACATTTGCACAGCAGATTTAATTATTCCAGCTTATAAAAATGGTCCTTTGGCAAAAAATAAGAACTATTAAGTACTTTTCTAAGATTTCACCAAAAATAAGTACTAATAAGGGCCCTTATTTTATTTTTGGCAAAATAAGTACTTATAAGACTTTGGAAGACCCGCTACGAACCCTGTATATTGCTGTTAATGTAACAAAGCTTCCAGGTGATTACAAGGCTCCACTTACGGTGATTTGACTAGTAAGTTGCTTAGCCCTGAGTTCTAACTGCTGTCGCTCACTCTTCAACTCCACTGATCTTTTGAGAAGCTTTCGTTTCTCTTCCTCTTTCCCTGCAAGTTTACGTAAGCTCTCATTCATTGCACCGCAGGGGGAAAGGATATAGTTAAAGCGCATCAATAGTAACGCAAAGAATATATATACAGTATAGGCAAACGCGAAATGCAATAATATGGCAACAAACATGTAAGCTAGCGGTGATCGGTTAGAAAAACTATTTACAGAATCGTTGCTCGGTTTGTGGTAGCATAACGTAGCATGAATATCTGTGCACGGTTTTTACCTGCTTTGTGAGCAATGTAAGAGTGGACAATGGCTAGTGTTCCTGTCCATGGCTGACTTGACCGATTCATCAGCTGCAATGATGAGAATAGTCAAGAAAAATCTTCGACGTGCATTAAATCGCCTCACACGAAACACAGACTGTGATCGTGTTGTCACACCATAGTATGGTGACCCAGTGTTATAATAGTTTATATACTTTATCACAAGTCTTCGACGTGGCCCACTGTTATAATACATAAACATAACCATATATACCGCTGAGTATGGTGGCCCAGTGTTATAATAGTTTATCACAAGTCTTCGACGTGGCCCACTGTTATAATACATAAACATAACCATATACTGCTGAGTATGGTGGCCCCGTGTTATAATAGTTTAACACAAGTCTTCGACGTGTATATGGTCTATGGACGTGTGTATGGTCTATGGTACATGGTCTATGGACGTGTATATGGTCTATGGTATATGGTATGGACGTGTGTATGGTCTATGGTATATGGTCTATGGACGTGTGTATGGTCTATGGACGTGTGTATGGTATATTGTTATGTTTATGTATTATAACAGTGCGCCACGTCGAAGATTTGTGATAAACTAAATTATAACACTGGGCCACCATCCTCAGCGGTATACGGTTATGTTTATGTATTATAACAGTGGGCCACGTCGAACACTTGTGATAAACTATTATAACACTGGGCCACCATAGTCACTACGTAGTCTCACAAATGCTACTGTCAACACGGAGGGACTTGCAGAGACTTCATGCACTAGTCTCTTCGTATTGTCTGAAAACTGTCAACTGCACCTGCTGTACAGTGAAACATTCTTTGCGGTGGCATAGAGACAAGAGATATGCTTCAAAAGTCGAAGCTAAGGAAACTTGGTGTAGAAAGACTACAAATGTTATTCGACTGCTTGTTAAAATCAGTACCAAACACTGGCTTTTCACGGAGAGCTTTTACCAACAGCCAACATCTACGTGTGCAGACTACCATAAAAGGTCAGAAATACAGCACAGCACACACCGAGTTACTGGGAAAGTCAATTGTTAAAAGACGGAGCGACGGTTCGAGAAAGACCCCTCGGTTTCCTGCTTCGACATCACTGCGTTCGCACTCGTCTCAAGTGGCGCACTCACCGATATGCGTCACTAGAGTGCAAGGTTTGATTCCAACTAGCGGTACAATGACGATTACTGCAGCTTGACAAACACAACAGTGGTTGTCGATTGTTTCAGTATCAGCCCTGTGTTTAGATTAAATCATCCAATACTAGTGGAGCGACGTCGAAACCAGAGACATGGGTCTTCCCGCACCGGTCGCCTGCATGCGAATGGGTACCTTGCACTTCGGACATGCCCACATGCCGCGAGGAGCAGAGGAGAGAGGCGGGTCCAGGCATCGCAGATGATAGACCTTAGTGCACGAGTCGCACGGCAGTAGCTGACCACCGCGCCCACACGTGGCACAGGAGGTTTCGTGAGGAGGGTGGTTAGTGGCGGCGGAGGGGGCGGCGGCGGCTGCGGCAGTGGGCGTCGCGGCCTACGAGAAGAATCGAAGAAAAAAAGAAGAGAGGACCGTCACGCGGGATGCGCGGAGACCTGCTGACAGAGGCGGTTGCTACGGTTACGGTGCACGCTACGAAGGTTTAACGTGGAAACGAAGGCCGTGAGAAGGAGCTCACGTTGTGAGGATAGCAGCTTGCATAGTACGTCACATACATAGCTACATGTGCATCATCTGTAAGGGTGACCACTCCATTTGATTTCCCCTGTGAGACTGAGCGTATTTCTGCTGCCGCAAATCAGGGTCAAATTGGGAAATTTAGTTTGAATTCGGTGGAAGGCCCACATAGAATTGAAACCAAACCTCACAATTTTTACCCGCTTTTTATGCGCATGAGAGAGGTCACCCTGTTCTGTACATCAATACAAGACATCGGAAGAATTTAGGCAAAAATCGATCGAAGCTGAATGCCACTGCTTTATTGACTGTTCACTCCCTCCTCCCAAAGATTTACAGACAAATTTCACCCATTCGCGTTTGCATTATCCAAATTGATTCATCTCATTCTCGACTGCAGTTTTCAGGCATATAATACTAATCTCATGATTGTTCATATTTGCCAGCCCAGCTTACCCTGTTCTCATTCAACACCCCGGCCCAGCCTACCTCGTTCTCGTTTAACACCCCGGCCCAGCTTACCTCGTTCTCGTTTAACACCCAAGCCCAGCCTACCCCGTTCTCGTTTAACACCCCGGCCCAGCTTACCCCATTCTCGTTTAACAACCCAGCCCAGCTTACCCTGTTCTCATTTAACACCCCGACCCAGCTTACCCCATTCTCGTTAAACACCCCAGCCCAGCCTACCCCGTTCTCGTTCAACACCCAAGCCCAGCCTACCCCGTTCTCGTTCAACACCCCGGCCCAGCCTACCCCGTTCTCCTTCAACACCCAGGCCCAGCTTACCCCGTTCTCGTACGCAAAGGCACTGTTGTCGATGCCGTTGACAGGCGATGGGTCACGATCGGGCGTCGTCGGCTGGCTGCCGTGTGGCGAGCTCATCCGGGGCGGCCGTCCTGTCGGAGACAAGAAGAGAAACACTGAGACGCTTCATGCCCTCGCCGAGTGCCAATGAAGACGTCTCGTCACGACGCGCGTCATCGTGACACGTTTCATTGTGATGCGCATCATAGTGACACGTCACGTCACAACGCGCGTCATCGTGACACGTCTCATTGTGATGCGCGTCATCGTGACACGTCTCATTGTGATGGCCGTCACCGTGACACATCACGTCACGACACACGTCATCGTGACACGTCACGTCACGACGCACGTCATCGTGACACGTCACATCACGACGCATGTCATCGTGACACGTCTCATCGCGACGCGCGTTATCGTGACAAACATCACGTCACGACGTGCGTCACCGTGACACGTCACATCACGACAAGCGTCATCGTGACACGTCTCGTCACGACGCACATCACCGTGACACATCTCATCATGACACGCGTCACCGTGACACACGTCACGTCACGACGCACGTCATCGTGACACGTCTCATCACGACGCGCATCATCGTGACACGTCTCGTCACGACGCATGTCATCGTGACACGTCTCGTCACGACACACGTCACCGTAACACATCACGTCATGACACATGTCATCGTGACACGTCTCGTCACGACGCACGTCATCGTGACACGTCTCGTCACGACGCATGTCATCGTGACACGTCTCGTCACGACACACGTCACCGTGACACATCACGTCATGACACATGTCATCGTGACACATCTCGTCACGACGCGCATCATCGTGACACATCACGTCATGACACATGTCATCGTGACACGTCACATCACGACGCGCGTCACCGTGACACATCTCGTCACGACAAGCGTCATCGTGACACGTTTCGTCACGACGCGTGTCACCGTGACACGTCTCGTCACGACAAGCGTCATCGTGACACGTTTCCTCACAATGCACATCATCGTGACAAACGTCACGTCACGACGCATGTCATCGTGACATGCGTTGTCCCGATGCCTGTCTTAAAGTGCCAAATCCAACTGATTCTTGAGGTGGGACGACTGTAGCTTTGATGACGAGATTTCGAAATTTGGCCAACAAATGCGACTGATCCCTTGGTAAGAATAGCTACAGTCAGACCTCTATATTAAGGGTCACTAAAAGGAAATGCTAAAAGTGTCCTTTTATAGACAGGTGTCCGGTCTAGTAGAGCTACTAACCGCTAACACAGGTTTGATTGCATTACGAATCATATTAGATTAGCGCTACAGTGATAGAAGTTCTGCATTTTCTCATCAACTTAACCGAAACTGATGAGAAGAGAAACTTATCAGATAATCTTATAACCTTATCAAGATCATACGAACTTGAGATCTTCATTCCAATGTTTAGCTTGTTAATAAATCAATTTACTAATTGCTCAATGTACATCGAAAAGTACAAATATATATTTCTGCTGACCCAGCCATCCACTCTGTAAAATACTGGAACAGGTTAGGTTACTGCAAATTCGTAACATTAAAAGCATGGATACACAGGGAGACACCCCTAACAACCACAACTCTCTCAACAGAAGAATAGCTTTGGCACAATTATTCCGATTGTATCAGTTATCACAACACGCTACCCTGGAGATTCATTTCATCTGATACAGAATAAAACAGATCCATTGCTGTCATCGAGTTTTACGGAGGGTGATAAGCAAAGTAAGAAGCGTTTTTCTACGTCTGCCGTTTTTTCGCAAACAATTCCATCTCAAATGGCAACATAATAGACAATGAGCAACAACTGCTTCAACCGGTGGGAGTTTCTAGCACAACTGTAAGCAATGGAGGAACACAGGCGTCAGCAACGCATCTTTCCGAAATGCTGTTTGTGGCTTCCGCCGTCGTGCCGATGTTCCACATTAATCGTACACTGCAGGATCCCAGCCCCATACTACAATTTCTGCTTCTACTTACATGTGGAACACGTTTAGGAATGCAGCCAAATCCTACGACAGCAAGCGACCAAGCGCACAAGAGTAAATAAATCAGCTTAACAGACCAGACACGGCAGTAGATAATGCAGTAGCCAGGGAAGACAAATGTTGACATGCTAGTGGCGCCATCCAGTGTCAGCATGCAGTACAATCAGCATACATCGACTAACCGGGAGTCTACCTGCACAGAGGTTTCCTTCGTCTTTGTGGGCCTCCTCCTCCACACCGGCCCCACGCAGGTCAGCCTCCTCTCTCTTTCTCTTTATACGTTTCAGAGAGAGCCTGTAACGGGGCCTAGAGCGAGTTCGCACAGCTGGACCTGTCACGCGGGTCACACACAATGGTCAGGCCTAACATGCCCAAGCGTCTTCCCCGTAGGATGCCAGTCAACGTAAGCATCTTCACAGGGCGCCTGATGACGCCATCGCACACGAGGACAGACAGCGAGCGCGCGCGGAGAGAAGGTCACTCATGTGAAAGGAGAAGAGGGAGGCACTCTATCCATGTGCTGCCACAATCACCAAGCGAGCGCATTACACTGTATTTGCCCAGATATTTCTAACGGCTTTACAAATAACCATGTTAGGATTTAACGTCGTCATTCAGCTATAGAGCCTCCACTCACATGTAGCGACCAGTTATCATTAACACACAGACTGTTATTTCGAAACGACGTTGTATGTGACGAAACCCAGTCATCTGTCAATCGAGCTATCAAATGCCCAAGGGAGATAGATAGGTAAGAATGAAAACCGTGGTCAGTGCTAACGAATCTCACCACATCCGGCAGTAAATAATATCGTGATAGTGATGTTCTCTCAATGCGGTATTCTTAAATGTATACTTACCTCTAGGTCTCTTGAATGCTGATGCAATGGGACTTGAACCAAGCATATATCCCTTCACAACCTTCTTCTGCTGAATTAAAAAATAAACAAACTTTTACCGATTGCTATTGCAATTCTCTTGCAAGTGATTCAAAGTAAGTTTTACAACAATACACCAAGACTCTATAATTTAAAAGACAGAAAGGATGGAGCACATGCTCAATGCACAAAAAATCAGATAATCTTGCCAAAAAAATCAGATGAATTTACGTAGAATCTATCATGACCATGAAATCGAAAGTCCATAATTGTGTGTGCAAAACCACAGATACTGCTATTCCCCTCTGACACTTACACCGGGTTCAAAGGGGTAATTGTAGGCAGGATTGGCTGTACTTCGACGCTTTCGCTCTAGTTTCCTTGCCTGCAATTCTGTTAATAATAACCAGAGAAACTTACATGTAGCAATATGATTACGATCAAAGCGCAAACTTGTACGCACATAATTGATCATTTAGTATGAATAATGGCAAGATATTCTGCAAAAATTCTCAAATTTTCTTTCCTTTCATGATTTCATTTGTTTTACTAAAATCATTTACATTAAATTAGTGCACGGTATTCAGTACAAATGCTTCAATTTCAAGATAATCACATCTAGCAATGGCTAAAATACAAATATAAATCTATAGCACATATTTCACAGCTTTACCGGTAAGTGCACTCTGGGTAATCAGGCCAATGGCTGCCATGAAGCCTTCCTTGTTCCCACACGATTGCTCTGCTGTTTTGGCTGTCGCCACCGGTAACCGTTGCTTGGGTGACATAGACGCGAACTGACACAGAGTGTCGGCAAAGTGCTGCTGCTGCTGCTGCTGCTGCTGCTGATGTGACAGCTGCTGCTGCGGCGACGGCAGCGCACGCGTCACATGCTGCGGTGACCTCCTCCGCTGCGAGAGATGCTGCAGTGAGGGCTTCGGGTGAGCTGTGGCGGACTGCTGCGGGGAAGATTGCTGGTGAGCGTGGAGCTGCGGCGACGACTGCTTGCTCCCAGACTGCTGCGTCGAGGCAATTTGATGCGGAGACTGCTGCGGCGAGAGTTTCTGCTGCGCGGACTGGTGCGGCGAGGGTTGCTTACGCACGGACTGCTGCGGTGAGGAGCGCTGATGCATAGCTGGCTTTGGTAAGGATTTCAGTTGTGCGTACAGCTGTTGCGAGAGCAGCTGGTGGCCAGACAGCTGTAGTGAGGGTTGCAGGTGAGCAGACTGTTGTGGTGAGGGTAGCTGGTGTGCCGACTGCTGCGGAGGGGACTGCCTGCATGCGGACTGATGTGGCGGCGAGGGTAACTGGTGTGCAGACAGCTGAGGTGAGGGTAACTGGTGTGCAGACAGCTGAGGTGAGGGCAGCTGGTGCACTGACTGCTGAGGTGAGGGTAGCTGGTGCGCAGACTGTTGAAGTGAGGGTTGCCTGCCCCCATACAGTTGTGGTGAGGTCAACTGGTGCAGAGACTGCTGTGGCGAAGGTTTCGGGGACGCAGACAGCTGGGCCGAGAGTTGTTGGTGCCGTACCGAACCCTGCGGCCATGCAGTCGGCAACTGCTGCGCGTCCGAGTGTCCCTGAAACTACAGAAACAAAACACGTGATGCGATTAGGTACAGGCTTCAGGTACAGGCAAGGGCATTCCTACTACTTTATGCACGCATATACTATCAGTCAGTCATATATTAAGTTATTAGCCGACATAACGCCGAAAATGTTAAAATTCCAAAGATAGATGCCAGGTAGAACAATTTAGACGTGTCTGTAACATTACGTGACAATGAGAACCACTCTGACTACATGTAATAAGCTCGTATAACGTCCGAAAAAAAGCTTGCCAAAACTTCAGAGAAATATTCGAGCACAATTTAGAGGGGTCCATCGCGCCAGACGAAAAGCGAAGGTGAGAATCGTCGTGCATACGCACCACGAGCGGCGGAGGCGTCCTATTCGCAATGCTGATATGTGGCACTCTGATCATGTGCATCGTGGCGCCCCCTGCGGCCATTGTGTGGGCCGGCGGTGGCCGCGCGCCCCTGCTGTTAGCAGGGCAGGCTGCAAGGTGTGGGCTTCTGCTGAAGAGATTCTTTGACTGTGCCTGAAGGGGGACGGCAGCCGAGACAACTGGCTTCGTGGCTGTCGGATTCGGACTGGGCGACTTGGCGGGCTGAAAGACAGATGTACATGTCGTAAAAGCTGTGCTAGCATGCAAACACGCACGCACGCATGCATACATGCACAAACACACACAAACACACACACGCACGCACGCACGCACGCACGCACGCACGCACGCACGCACACACACACACACACACACGCATGCACCTCTGTATAGATCAGATGCCTGCCTCTTCTATAATGGACACTGCTGAGTGGCAGTTATAATATATATGTGCATGTGTGCACGCGTGCTTGCATCTGTGCGTGCGTGCTAGATGGCATTACTAGACAGGATCTCGCATGACCACACGTTAATAAAAAGATGTGAACGTTTTGTACGGTGTAAGTTTTCCCTAGCTCAGACCACATACTGATGTGTTTCCCTAGCTCAGACCACATACGGATGTGTTTCCCTAGCTCAGACCACATACTGATGTGTTTCCCTAGCTCAGACCACATACTGATGTGTTTCCCTAGCTCAGACCACATACTGATGTGTTTCCCTAGCTCAGACCACATACTGATGTATTTCCCTAGCTCAGACCACATGCTGATGTGTTTCGGTTACATCTGTAACTATTCGCAATATTCACTCACTCAATTATGTTCGTTTCCATGCAACTCGTGCATGCCTACTACTCTAATGAATTTTAGGAAGAGGCTAGTGAGAGATTTAGAGCCCTAAGTTCGCAACGCTACTCCAACTGCAGGTCAAAAACAAAGAAGCATGAACGTACCTGTGGAAACGTGGTGATGATGCCCTTAGATACTAACTCCTTGCGCAAGTTTTGAACTATTTGCTTCTGAAAATAGGAAACAGGTAGGACATTAGCACTGCTTATTAAACCGATGGCACGTACACACACTTTGTTGTGATTTAATAGGCACATACAAACAGAATCAATGTGTGTAAAATGCTCACAGCAATAACTAACAATCAGCAAACACATAGTAAATGTAGCAAATGCCTGGGCACAGATCTAAAAACAGCTCTGCAGGGTCAATGTTTACCCATTTTTTAGCAAATGAACTAAGACAAGCAGCATGTATGTATGCGCACACGTATACACGCACACACACACGCACGCACGCCTGCACGCACATACATGCGAGTGCAGTTATGATCAATGTACAGTTCACCGGTCATGCACACGCGCGGTCGCAAGTCTACAACGCAGGGTTAAAGGTTCGTAAATGCCGGCTCAACTATTCTGTCGATAGCCGCGGCGGGCATCTCCATGCAGAAGCAGCCGCGCACGCACGTATGGCATGTTTTTTTGTTTCATAATTCGATTTTTGTTTTATGGTTGATTTTATCACATATATAACATTTCGATTTATCACATATAACATTCGATTTATCACATATAACATTCAATTTATCACATATAACATTCGATTTATCACATATAACATTCGATTTATCACATATAACATTCAATTTATCACATATAACATTTGATTTATTGCATATATAACATTTGATTTATCGCATATAATATTTGATTATTTAATCATATGTTATATGCAATAAATCGACAATAATTCCCTGTTTTAAATGTTCACATTATTTGATTTTATATCAGAAAAGAGAATTAAACCATTCGATCCTGGCATCAAACCATTCGGTTTTGGAATCGCATCATTCGATCCGTGAATCGAAGCATTCGATCCATGAATCGAAGCATTCGATCCGTGAATCGAATCATTCGATCCGTGAATTGAAACATTCGATCCGTGAAATGAAGCATTCGATCCGTGAATCGAATCATTCGATCCGTGAATCGAAGCATTCGATCTGTGAATCGAAGCATTCGATCCGTGAATCGAAGCATTCGATCCGTGAATCGAAGCATTCGATCCGTGAATGTTATATGTGATAAAATCAACAATAAAACAAAAAATCGAATTATGAAACAAAATACATGCCATACGCACGCACCGACCGCTGCGATGCAAACTCGCGACCCTTCAGCCGACAGCGTTTTCCACGCTCCGCTCGAGATGCGATACAAGCTCTGCGTCTGCTGCCGGCTAGACGGCGATGACGTCACGCAACCCTCACACATTTTTCGGTAGTGCCGCCGCCACCGCCAGCTAGCTTCTCGCTGCGACGTGGGGGTGGGATTGTCTACAGCTCGACGTGGCTGCGCGAGTGATATCTCGAGCATTTCTCCGCCGCGACCCAATAAATGTGGCCGGCCGCAAACCAGCACGACGACGCAGACACGAGCTCAGCCGACCTACTCTCAACAATCGGTCGGCTGCTGTTAACAGCCAACGAGACGCTCTCGGACGCGCGAGCTCATTCACGGGCACGGCAATGCAATACAAGAGCAATTTCTACTATCAAACGTGTATATAATGCGGCGTTCACACAGTGCCGATTATGGCTCCCGTTTGAGATCAGACAGCGCTACGACACGAAAAGTGAAAAAGTCGGATTACTATCCTCAATGATCTGGAATGTCCTATCATTGTCTGAACGCAGTCGTATACGTTCGTAATAGAGTCCTACGGATCGGGAATGGTCCGGAGAGGGCGGCCAAGCACTCCCGACAGTTAGGTGCATCCCGTAACATTCGGGAAACTCAGCCGATTTTGTCTAGTCGGATTACAATCGTGACTATGTCGTGACAGATTCTGCTGTATCGGATCAAAATCGTAACAATGTCCTGTGCTGTCTGGACGGTGTCTGGACGGTGTCCTGTGGATCAGGACGCTGTCGTGATGAACGGGCATGATCTGGAGAAATTTTTCATTGCCGTTTCTTGCCGATTGAGTCCAGATTGCGTCCAGATCTAACGGATGTCTTCCGTCAGCGTCGGTTCACTGTCGGGTCACTGTCTGATCTCCGTCGGATCGCATTCGGGAGAATCGGGACGCTGTCGGGACAGATTTGGTCGTTTTTTACCATGCGAAAGATACAAATCGGATCACAATCGTATTGAGAACTGGAGAATCGGGACGAATTCGGCTGGAAACGGCTGAATCGGGACGCTTCCTGAACAATATCTGATTGTTGTCGTGATTAAATAAATGTTTTTACAAATTTTTAATAAAGTTTGAATTTCCCGCCACGCATCACAGGATCTTGATCAGACTTTTGACAAATTTTAATCGGGAATGGTCCTATCAAGGACGGCAGTAAAAATCCTGAATGTGTGACTGAGCCTTAATATCAAGAGCGTATTAATAACTATGCATACTTAATACGCTCTCGCTGCTGCCGACCGATGTCACACTCACAAGAAACTCCTGCTTCTCCAGCCTGGACCGGTGCATCGCGTCACCGGGGATCGGGTATCTCTACACGCAGGCACGCACGTCTACACGCAGGCACGCACGTCTACACGCAGGCACGCACCTATACACGCAGGCACGCACCTATACACGCAGGCACGCACCTATACACGCAGGCACGCACGTCTACACGCAGGCACGCACCTATACACGCAGGCACGCACCTATACACGCAGGCACGCACGTCTACACGCAGGCACGCACCTATACGACGCAGGCACGCACCTATACACGCAGGCACGCACGTCTACACGCAGGCACGCACCTATACACGCAGGCACGCACCTATACACGCAGGCACGCACGTCTACACGCAGGCACGCACCTATACACGCAGGCACGCACCTATACACGCAGGCACGCACGTCTACACGCAGGCACG